CCGCGCTGGAACTGGATTTTCCGGAACAGATCGACTTGTTTACCGATGCGGGCGATATGCTGGACTTGCACTCCAAGCCCAAAGAGTATGCGAAAAAGTACATTGAGCCGCGCATGGTGTGCACTTTGGTCAAGATTGTCAAAGGTATGTCAATTGGAAATGAGAATATGGCTTGCTGACATATGTGTGCATGGGGGGAAAAGATGAGGACGGCGGTCCCACTCGGTTCGTGCCGCTCTCGGACTCGGCCGTGCCCGCCGATCGGACTCTCAAGCTTCCAAATGGTATTATGCTTCATGCTTTCCTTTACTTTTGCTCGTACTCACTGGATCCTTGATCGCCCTTTGAATATAGCGGCGGGACGGCGCATGACCAAGAAACACATTCAAATGCCCGCACACCTGTCTTCTGCTGGCGCCAACAATCCATCCACCGCTGCTGCTGCTGCTTCAGCTGCCGTTGCGCCAACCAAAGAACCCTCGACAGCAGCAACGACCGTCGGATCCAATCCCAGCCCATCTTCCGAAGGTCCCGCACCATCCTCATCCGGATGGTTACGCGGTCCCGGTGCATCCAGCGCGGCCGTGGGAACCCGAACGACATCCCCCGCCATTGCCGTCACCGACTCGGTGGGGGACTCGATTGGGATGCTTGGGGGTGGGAGTGTTAGCAATGACGCTAGCAATTCCATTGGTAGCGGTGGTGGAGGGATGGTTGCGGCGGCGGCGGCGGGGTCCGGATCCAGCACCGGTGCTGGTGGTGCCGATGGTCGGAAACGCTCGGTCTCGATCCGCAGTGCGGCTGCCAGTAACGCCGCCGCTGCAGCCAAGGGATCGGTTAAAGGAGGGCGGGCGAGTGCTGCTGCATCAAAGTAGATCACCTTTCTTTTCATTGCGCAAAACATGAGCGATGATCCCAAAAGGGTTGCTTACTACTGCTCGCCCTTGACGATCTTGAGCGAGTAGTCGACAAACGGCACGCCCTGGGTGAGCGAGCCCATGGAAATGACATCGATGGCTATTTATTCCAATAAGTACGGATCCACACAAGTTAAAAGAGAACGAAACGTACAGTCGTCGAACCAATCGGCCACCGACTCGATCGTGATCCCGCCGGAGGCCTCCACCAGCACATGCGGCCACCGCTTCTTGAGCGATGCCGCCTGCACCTTCATTTCGCGTGGGGTGTAGTTGTCAAGCATGACAATATCGGCGCCGGCCTCGATCGCTTCGACGGCCTCCGCCTCCGACTGGCACTCGACTTCCACCTTCAACGCAAACCCACCGGCGGTCTTGGCGGCCCGGACCGCGTTGGTGATCGAGCCCGTGGACCAAATGTGGTTGTCCTTGAGCATGATCATCGATGACAGACTGTACCGGTGCGGGTCGACGCCGCCGACGTGCAGGGCGTACTTTTCGACCAGGCGGAATCCTAATTCTCAAGATGTTGCAGTGCAAATCCATCATGTAAATGTAAATGCATGTACCAGGGGTGGTCTTGCGCGTGCCCGCAATCGCGCCCTTGAACCCGTGCTTTTCCTTGAGCTGGACGAGGGCCCGTGCGCTTCATACCATATTGTGTGAGCTGAATGAATAAGCAATGGACCATATAAATGGGAAAAATACCGAGACGCGATCCCAGCACACCGCGCCATCAAGTTCAGAGCCGTGCGCTCGGCCATCAACAGGTTACGGGCAGCTCCACGGACAGTGGCAACGCGGACTTTGCCCGCGGGCTCCGTGGTAGGGTCAACAAAGGTGCCCTCGGCCACGTGCCAGTCCACGGTACAGTCCAAGTGGCGGAACACCTCGGTCGCAAAGGGGACACCGGCCAGCACGCCGGGGGACTTGCACCACAGGGCACCGACCGAGGGCGCTTCGCCCACCACGTAGCCCCCGTAGTCAAAGTCGGGCATGTCGTCGGCCAGCCACGCGTGCACGGTCGCGCGCCACGAGGGCGGGAGGAGGTGGGCGGGGTTGTGAGTGCTTGTCATTTTTTTTGCTGTGTTAATGTTGGCGAGGTGCACTGCGCGATTGCTCTCTTTCCATTGAGGTTTTTCGATCCGCCACAACCAATCGATTTTATTTCCCATAAGAAAATGGTCCTCCGCCTCAAGGACTTTATCAAGCAGATCCGCGCGTGCAAGACCGCCGCCGACGAGCGCGCGGTGGTGGCTCGGGAGTCGGCGGTGATCCGCACCTCGTTCAAGGAGGACGCGGCGGGGGACCGCCACGCCAACGTCGCCAAGCTGCTGTACATTCACATGCTCGGGTACCCGGCCCATTTCGGGCAGATGGAGTGCGTGAAGCTGGTGGCGTCCCCTCGGTTCGCCGACAAGCGGCTCGGGTACTTGGGGATCATGCTGCTGCTGGACGAGAACCAGGAGACGCTGACGCTGGTCACCAACTCGCTCAAGAACGACCTCAACCACCCGAACATGTACGTGGTTGGGCTCGCGCTGTGCACCATGGGCAACATTGGGTCGGTCGAAATGGCCCGCGATCTGTACCCGGAGATCGAGAAGTTGTTGGGGTCGTCCAACTCGTACGTGCGCAAGAAGGTACTTTGCTTTATATTTTACTCATAAGCATACACTGGTACTGATATAAATATGAAATAAATTACAAGGCCTCGCTCACAGCCGTCCGCGTCATCCGCAAGGTGCCCGACCTGCTCGACGCCTTTGCCGCCCGGTCCCGCGCCATGCTCGGCGAACGCAACCACGGCGCGCTGCTGACGGGCCTGACGCTGATCCACGCCATGTGCGTTGTGTCGCCGGCCGCCCTGGCCGAATTCCGCACCACCGTGCCCGGGCTCGTCAAAGTGCTCAAGAATCTGGTGACCACGGGCTACTCGCCCGAGCACGATGTGGCTGGGATCACCGATCCGTTCCTGCAGGTCAAAATCCTGCGTCTGCTGCGTCTTTTGGGGACGGGGGACAAGGCGGCAGCCGAGCACATGAACGACGTGCTGGCGCAAGTGGCCACCACCACCGACGGCGCCAAGAACGTGGGGAACGCGATCTTGTACGAGACGGTGGTCACCGTGCTGGCGATCGATGCCGCCGACGCCGCCCTCAGGGTGCTGGCCATCAACATTCTCGGCAAATTCTTGGGCAACAAGGATAACAATATCCGATACGTGGCGCTGCAGACGCTGCTCAAGACGATTGCGGTGGACGCGGCGGCGGTCCAGCGGCACCGCGCGACGGTCCTCGAGTGCTTGCACGACGCGGACGCGTCGATCCGCAAGCGCGCGCTCGAGCTGGCCTTTGCGCTCGTGACCCCGGCCAACGTCCGGTCACTCACGCGGGACCTGCTGGCGTTCCTGGAAGTCGCCGACGCCGAGTTCCGGCCCGGAATGGTCGCGGACCTGGCACGTACCGCCGACAAGTACGCGCCCAATGTCCGGTGGCACTTTGACACGCTGGTGCGGGTCATGAAGCTCGGTGGCGCGCATGTCGGGGACGAGATTGTCGCGCAGGCGGTGCGGCTGGTGGCCACCGCGCCCGCGGACTTGCAGGCGTACGCGGTGCGCAAGCTGTACGACCACGTGGTTGAGGATAAGGGCGCACAGGCCGCCGCCGCCTTGGCCGCCGTGTGGTGCATTGGCGAGTACGGTGACTTGCTGGTCCGTGGGCCCACCACCGCCGGCGGCGGTACTGGCTCGTTGCTGGACCCCGAGGACGATACGCCCGACCTGCAGCCGGTCGGCGTGCCCGTTACACCCGCTCCCACCGAGGCCGCGGTGGTGGCCACCCTCGAGACCGTCGTGGACGGCACCTACGTGACCCCGACACTGAAGCAGTACACGGTGTCGGCGCTCATGAAGCTGTCGGTGCGGTTCAGCGATCCGGCGGCCACAGCTGCCATTCAGCGCCGGATTGGGCGGTACTCGACCGCCATGCCCATGGAGGTGCAGCAGCGCGCGGTCGAGGGCGCGCACATGTTTGCCCAGCTGGACGCGGCCGGGCGTGTCGGACTGTGGGAGCGGATGGCGGTCCCCGAGCCCAAGGAAGGCGCCGAGGGTAAGTACGCGCGTAATGCCGCGGCTGCTGCTGGTTCGTGTGCTTCCTTTATTAGAAATTTGGTCTTTGACTTACTTTAAAAAAAAAAAAAATTTAGCCGAGGCGTCGGGATCCCTGCGCACCACCGCCCCAACTGCCGCGGCCACGCCCGCCCCCTCGGACGCCATGTCGGCGCTCTTGGACCTGGAGGGTCTCTCGCTTGGTGGTCCCTCGGATTACGGCGGCGCAGCCAACAAGGCCGCTCCTTCCAGCAACCCGCTGGACCTGATGGCCGATATTTTCTCCACTCCAGCGACCCAGGCTGCTTCTCCTAAGGCGACAGCGGCGCAAGACCCGCTGTCCATGTTGATGGGACTGGGCACGACGTCCCAGGCGGCTGCTCCAGGCATCACCAGCCCCGCCGCACATGCCAACCCTCTGGCCGATCTCCTCGGCAGCACTGCGGCAGCACCACCGGCGGCCGATGTGTGGAACCGCGAGTACGCGTGCCACCGCACCGCCGACGTGTCCGTGACCCTGGCGCCCGTGCAAGTGTCCGACCCGTCTGCGGGCGCACTGGTACAAGTGAACGCCACGGTGACCAACGTTTCGGGAACCGCCATCGAGGGCTTACAGTTGATGGTGGCGGTGCCCAAGTCGCACAAGATCGCTATGGCCCCACTGTCGACCACGTCGTTGCCCACCGCGGGGAGCGTGGCGATGCAGGCGTTCCGCGTGCTGAACCCGGAACGGAAGCCGATTAAACTGAAGGTCAAGATCGTGTACTCGACTGGTGCTGGGGCGGGGACGGTGGATGAGGTGGCGAACTTTGCGTTCCCGGAGTCGGTGCTATGAGGGATTTAGGTTTGATTTTGTGCTTATTTTGATTTGGACTGGAATAAAAACGATTTTTTTAACCGAGTGGGCCGAGGAGCACACCGTCAGCAGCCTCGAAGGAGTCCTTGGTCGCAGAAGAACTCACAAAGCAAAAATATGACCCGTGCAGGATTTGAACCTACAACCTTTTGATCTGGAGTCAAACGCGCTACCGTTGCGCCAACGAGCCGGTGAATTCCTATAGAAAATCGTCAAGTCGTTCCTTTGATAATGCCAAACCAGGAATTTGGAACCTGATGCCAAAAGGGCGTAGCAAGATGGAGGACGCGGCGGGTACCAGGGCCAAACTCGGTACAGATACAAAACGGAGCGAACAGTCTTGTTGAGGCGGCTGGAGGTCACATGCCGCAAATGTCGCACTGGATGCCGCAGTCCATCATGCACTCACGCCACTCGGCGTCGCCCAAACCCTTGCAGACGCCCCCGCAGCTGTTGAGGCAGCGATAGCGCGCTGCGCGGCACTGCTCGCCGATGTTGGAGGCTACAGGATCGAGAGAGAGAGAGAGGATGTTGAGTTCACAGGAGCGTTGATCGGACATAAAGTGAGACATACGCTTGTCGGCATGGTCGTGACTCACAGCCGGGGCAGCCAAAGCGGTACCGACGAGAGCGAAAAGAACGAGGAAGAAAGAGGCACGCATTTTTTGGTGCTTATTCGGTTTGCTGGATACTGGTTTAACAATTGGAGACGAGACGAGCAGCGGCCCCTTTTATAGGGCGGCCGTCCATACCTTGTCCGCGGGTGCCAAGCACTGCTTCTTGCCCAAAGCACGAAATCGAAACGCTTCCCCCAATGTTTTCGAGCCAGATTTTTGGTGCTTTGCGAAGCCCGCGTGAGCGGATGAGCTGGATCGAGGGAGAAGGGCCATTTTTTCCTGCGTCGCCTCCACTCCGCTCCAGTCGCGCGTCCGTTTACAATACTGAAGGTGGGAACATAGCCCAAGAACAAAAGAATGATTGTCCACAAGCAAGTCACAAGCTTCGCTGCTGCTTTTTGTTGCACCATTCTTCGCTTTGCTCTTGGCTGGCGTATTCTCGCATATCGCACTTCCACGCACGACCTCCGTCTATGGCCCGGTACCGGACCCGCAGCTCGACACGCCCGGCGACTATCTGGTTCGCATGCCGCCCTGCGACGTGGCCGTGAACGTCAACTCACCTGGGTGCCGTGCGAAACCGCGCTTCTTTTACGCGCCTGATGATATCTATCACTCTCAAGTCATGGCCACACTGGCCGCCGACACGAACCTGGACCCGGCCGTCGACATTGTGCCCTTGGCCGACTTTGCCGTACTGGCCGAGACAATGGTTGGCAATGCAATGAGAATCGCCAATGAGCGCGTCGTGGCCGCACTTACGGGTGAGCTCTTAGGGGACACGACAACGACGACGCTTGCGATTCGCCACGATCCGCAGGATGCGCTTGCGGGGACTCGGGCACGCGGCGGCGTCTGTGTTTCGGGCATGTGGCAGTGGGAGGTGCGCGTGTCGGTCCTGCTCGCTCCGGGCACTGATCTGGCGCGCGTGTTTGCGTTTGTGGCCGGCGGCGGGGTCGACGGCGTGGTGGATTTCGGGCTCAACAATTGCTCGCTCGAGGACGTGTTTATCCAGGTGTCGGGGCGGTTTTTCAATGGTTCTGCCTGATGAATACGCCTGCATTATGAGCATATCGTCTGTGCGCGACATGGTGGTGGGCGACTCGTACTTGCCTTTCCGATCGTGAATGCGCTCTCCCTCGCATTTGAAGATACAATAGAATGAAAAAAAGCCAAAAGAATAACCCAGAATTCTATACTGGCACCATGCACTTCCCTTGACCGTCGCCAGACTCCAGAAACACGGGAATCTGGCGCGTGCCCGTCAGATCGGCCAGCCATGGGTCAAGATCCGAGTTGCGGCGACTGACCGCGTCAATTTCGGTCTGGGCCGGCATGGCGAGCTGGCGGTCAGCGGCGAGGTGCGCTCGTACCCACCATTCCAACAACGTGAGTTCGGAACGTTCCATCAACGACAGCCAGGTGCTGGGATTCAGTGGCAGCAGCGACGCGAGCGAGGTGCCAGAGCGACGGGTGGTCCAGAACAGAACCGTCAGCGACCTGCACTCGGCGACCGAGAAGGATCCAGGAATCGGTCGGTCCGGGATGTGGGACGCCATGGCAGCGATAAAGTCCAGTGTGAACGGCGCATGCTGGCCACCGTCCATGACCCTTGGATCGAACGGCAACGCTGGCGACCCCCAAAACCGGTCCCGCATCCACGCCTGTGCTCGCCGCGCGTTCCAGTAAATGGCCTGGGCGTAGATGTCCTGCCACACCACGTCGGGAACAGGGTACCGCGCGCACCACCACTCGAGCACGGCCGCGGCATCGCTGTCGCTGGCGAGTTGGACCACCCAGGCCATCCGGGACGTGTTGTCCAGGTTCTGCTCCGGCAATGCGTCGCGGTTTGCGTCCCACCATTCGAGCACGCGTGTGCGGCCATATTGCACCGCGTTGACCACGAGCTCGGTCGACCATGTCACCTCCAGCCCTGAAGGAGGCGAAAAAAGAATGTACTCCAGGAGCTCGACGTGCCCACCAGCAACGCACGAGTCCATCCACCATTTGCTGAGCACCAGTCGCTGGCCCAGAGCCGCGCATTTGGCCGCCGCCCATTGCAGATACGGTAAAGACATGAGCGAGTACCGCGTGAATATCGTGCGCAATGGAACGTCGTGCCAGTCCGCATCAAACGCAAACGCTTTGAGCTCCCGGTCGTATGCGGTGCCCAATTCGTGCGAGTGGTCCCAGAGCCAGGCGGCAACGTCGGGACTGCCGGCCCAGTGGAGGCTGGACGCAATGGAGGCGGACCCAAACGTGTGCTGCGGGGTGCGGTGGTCCAGGAACGTGGCCCACCACCACTGCACCGCGGCCAGCGAGCCGCAGCTCAGCGCGCGGTGAACGATATTGAAAAAGGGTACTGGCTCTGGCAGTTCTTTGCTGCCCGTGAGCGCCCACCACCAGTCCAGGGCTTGAGGCGATACGATCAAGGGGACTGTATCGGCGGCTTTCAGACTGGCCACCGCTGCATCGAGGCTGGGTTGGAGCGCGACCCACCGCTCCACGACCGAAACGTCGCCATGGACGGCGGACACGATCGCCGTCGCGAGGTCCAAGTCTTTAACGAGCCCGCGGTCCAGCGCCCAGTGCAAGACTTGGGTACGCCCTGCGTTTGCCGCGCCTTGCCACATCCGCGGACTCCACGCAATGGGGACGCGTGCGACACTCAATATCCAGTCAAGGACGGGCACCTGGCCGCTCGTGCACGCGTGGTCAATGAGCCCGTCCTTCTCGAACCAAATTGCGCGCCCTAGAGTCGTGGGTCCGGCCAGTCTCCACAGTAAATCAAGCACTGGCAGAGACCCGAGCGTGGCGGCAGCGATCAGAGTCGCGCTGAGACCATCAAAGAAAATGTAGGCCGGGTAGTGCGGCAGCAGGTCGAGCGCGTGGCCGTGCTGAGTTGCATTGGAGGGCGTGTGCTCGAGAAACCCGCGCGAGAGGACGGCGGCGAGCACGGACGGCGCTCTTGCCCTGGAGAGGACATTGGCCACCGTAATGGCATCCTCGGGCGAGCGCGAGGCACCGGCAGCGTGGGCAAGTGCGATATCAGCGACGTGGTCCAGCATTTTCCTTAGGAATTTTTTTTTTTGAAGGGGAAAATGATCCAATCGTCTCCACACCACGCCAGGCAGCCATGGAACTGGCACCAGTCACTGATCGCTTTGAAAGTTGCGGGGAGAAGAGCAAGTGATTTTGTGTCCGAGGCATAAAAGGCCGGACACACCCGCCGATCGGGCCGTGGTCAATGAGCCAAGTCATGCCAAAAAGGCCTCGAATGCTCGTATCGTCAATGGTCGGCCACGGTGGTGTTGTCGTGATCTACCATGAAGAAGGGGGAAGAGAGAGGCTTCCCAGATACGGGACGTGACTCTTGCATATGATGCTGCCTCTGCTCGATCTGCCCGACACGGTGCTCCGCGCGCTCCACTGGCATCTCGACGTGCCATCGGTCTTGAAACTGCGCCAGACGTCCAGGTTGGCAGCACAGAGCGACCTGGTGCTCGAAGACCGCACTTTGAGTGCAACGCTTGCCCTGATATCAGGCAACGAGCCGCTGTTTCTGCAGTCCGCGCCGCGATTCCAGCCATACCGGGACTACGATAAAAAGATACGGGGCATGTACTCTTCCCACCACCTGCCGCGGTCTGGCCAAGTTCCGTTTTATCGATTCGCATGCGTGCTCGTGCGCATGGACGCGCCGCGCAAGCACTGGGCCATGCTGCGGCGGTGGGCTCGCTGCCGCACTGGTATAACGCCTGAGCACCACTACGCGCTCGTGGCGTTTGCTCTCCGGTCTGGATCTCTGCATGCCATCGGTATCCTGCTCCAGTGGAAGTCGCGCAAAGGGAAGCCCATGCACTCGCTTCGGTATGGCTACTGGATCAAGATGCTGATGTGCCAAAAGTTTGCCGCCCCAGGTTCCTCGAGCCACCCTGGCTTTGCGCAGTGGGTGCTTGCAAATGCTGCTGTCTTTATCGCGCTTCCGCCCATGACCGTCCAGGACATTGTGCGGCCGATTGCTGCCGACTCGTTGATGCAGCTCAAGGTGCTCGCGCGCCTGCTCCCCATCGCAGGTGTGCCGTGCGCAGCCAGCCTCCGTTGCCTCGAATTGGCACTCCCAGACTCGTCAACCTACTCTACGGAATCATGGAGGGCGGTGGATACTGGCATAAAGCTGATGGAATCGTGGCTCTCTTGCGTCGCAATGGCAAGTGGCCCATTGGTCGTCTACCGCGCGCTGCTGGCGGCGCTTGTGCTGTCGCATGTGGACTGGCGGCCGGGCCATCCCTTGGCGTCCGACACGGCATTTCAAGTCGACTTTGGTGGTGCTGAAACAGACGGCGTCACAGCACTGCGTGTGTTGCTGGTCGAGAGCGTGGGCGGTGATGCTGCTGCTGCAGCTGCTCTGATCGCTGGATTCGCGGTGATCCCACCGCTCGCAGCCCGCAACGGTCTGATCATGTCTGCGCACATGTGCTCGTCCGAACCAGTGCGCTGTAACACGGCGTTTATCCGTGCCGCCGTCACGATCGACCCTTCATCGTTTGCGACGATCCTGGACCATGAGGCA